GGAGACGGCGCGCCACCACCTGGGCGTAGTACCCGTAAGGCTGGAAGGATGGGGCTATTCAGCGCAGACGTGCGGCACAGCGCTTGGAGACGCATGGTGCACATGGCACGGCGCACGTCGACAAGGAATTGTTCGCGATAGCGAGAAGAATGTTTATGGACTTGAGTCGTCTCTCGCCGGGAACGGCTACGGTTGGCGAGTCTCGGTCATTGTTGTTGGCGACGTACAGGAAGGGCGAGCTTGAAAGAAAGGGTGAAAGCCGGCGAGCCAGCCGAAAGAGGAAAGGTGCATACTCTAGCGAGGACGGTGAGGATCACTCAGCCACATCCCCAGCTTGAGTTTCCCTTCAATCGGGATTTCACCCAAAGACCATGCCATCGGCGCGCCGCTTCTGCAACGTCGGTGCACACTGCTCTCCGCACCACCGACATCCTCCTCAGGGCCCGAGCGAGGCAATCGCTCTCCGACTCAAAGTACATGCGCAGAGCCTCGGATGCCGAAGAACGGCCTGTCGGGGGCATCCGCTCCTCGTGGGTCTGAGCGGCAAGCATCGACCTCTCGTTCTTACGCAGCTGGCTTGATACCAACCCGGCTGTCCGCTTCCTTTACAACGATCGCGAACTTGTCGATCATTATGAGGCAGGTGTGATCCGCTTAAGGTTCATGGATACCTCTGCTAGCTCTCAAGACGACGACCGACATCGAAGTCCTTTCACCAGGTTGACCGCTAGATGCACTTGTCACAGGGTCAAGACAACACAGCCACGATTTAGTTACAGGCATTTACAGCTGCGGCCCCAGGGATCTCAAGGTCCAGGCAACTCTTATACATCTAATAGGTATATCTGCGCAGGGGCCGAGTCAACCGTGAAACGCTAAACCGAAACTGTATAAGGAAAAGTGACTTCGATGAACAGTGCATTTGTTGAGAAAAGCATGGAATTTGACGGAAACTGATGATACGCAAAGTCCTACTACAGCGCCACAAGGGCTGCCACAGGACGTGACTGTCATTCCGTCTTCAGCTTCTCGACGCAAAGCCACATCCCCATAGTCTACTAGGTATTTGGTCCGCTTCAAGCGACAATTTCGGGTTGTTCGACACGCTGGTACGCCGTGTTGTTCCACTCTTGTTCAGCAAGATGGTCTGTGCTGGCATTATCATGAGTAAGCTTTCCCATCGACCTAAAGCCCTTACCAGCAGGTGTCCAGAGGTCTGAAAACACTCGATCGGCACGAAACACTGTCAATGCTGCAACTGCAAGGACTATCATTGGCCCTTCTAAGACCATGAATGTGGCTTCGTGGTCAGCCAGATCTCCGCCGAAACCGGTTCAGAGCTCAGCGACACGGTATATGCAGCGCACACATATGAGCACAGTTGCAACAAGAAGGCTCCACTGGAAACAGATGATGTTCTTTGTCCAACGAAGCTGGATGTACAATGGTGGCTGGGTGCATGGCAAGCTGCTTGAGATCTTCGCATGCCGCAGACGGAGAGGGGATTCGCCCCCAAAGAGTCAGGAAAAGAGTCAGGGTGATGATTTGGGACATCAGACCAGCAATTATGATATTGACTCCCGGACTTGAGCTGTCTTTGTCTCCTGCAGTTGCGGCCATGCCACCACCGATAACCTGTGGGACAAGAGCGAGCAGATCGGAGCCGATGAAGACGTACGCGTAAGCCTTGTGTTATAACCTCGAATAATTGGCTCTGATGACTACGATGATGCGTCCGAACGAGAGATGAATACCGGTGGTCAGGAGAGCAAGTGACATGGTAGGCGCAATGTAGTTACTGACTCCTGCTAGACATGGGCGTTGTACACAGACGGGGTAACTTACACAAGGAAGAAGATTATGCTGAAAGGGTCCAGGTCGAGCATTATACGGCTAAGATATCCCACTGCCTCTCCGAGGACGTCAGCGCACGTGGTACCCGTGAACGACCAGGTCTTGTTCCGGACGCCATACCACAGCTGTCCACCGAACAGTGCCAAGCATGTAGATTACGTTTCCCCCCATGTCGGTCGATATTCGATGACTTGCCAGGACTCTGGACATTTGCCAACTGAAGACATGTCTTCAAGGTTGTGCTCGAACACAACTAAGCCCTCAGCGACACCGTGATCTCACTCCATCCGTTCGGTGCACCGTATTAGCTTCCGCCAATCTCGCAAGTGGTTTGCGCATCACTGCTGTGAGCTTTGGCGTGTGCCTGCGGCTGATACATAGCCACCGTAGTTCAAGCGAACAGAACTGGCGCAGGCGCAGCGGGAGGCTGCCGTTTACAAGCCTTCGAACATGCGGAAATAACATGATTGGTCAAACGTCAGGAAATTTCCATCGGCTTGACTGGTTGAACTGAATTATCAGAATAGCAACGAAACAAAAGGGTGCAGGCTGAAGCGAAGAGATCTACAACGGCGAACGCCATTGTTGGGGGAGCTGGCCAATTACACACAGTCCAACCTCCCCACTTCGCCTTGTCTCCGTCCTCAACCTCAGGCCTCCCAGGCGCAGCGATCCTTCGCACAACAAACATCACTCCTTCATTGGTGCTATCGACGCAGACAGAAGTCGGGAGCGGTCTTTGCGATCTTCACAAGCCTGCTCGTCGTGCAAGGATCAGGACGAGCCAGCCCTTCTACGAGATCAACACGCCGGTTGCAGCTTCGTGAGATCTCCTTACTCCTCGAATCTGATCCCGTCTCTTCACTTCGTTATTCTACCATCTCCAAAGCATCTAATGCTTTTGAAAAGGTGCCGCGCTGGCTGCTGGGCCTACGGGATAGATCATCATATTGTCTCCATTGCGCACGCTGTGCTTCGGAGCTGGAGACGTGATAGATGGCCATTGGTATGTACTGCTCTAAACCATCTAATCATGTGCAATTTCATGTTCCCGAGTATTATCTAATTGGGGAGCATGCATTCTGCTCAATGAAAAGCCCAGAACTGTCGTAATGTAACAGTTTATGCCTTCTTTCGGCGTTGCGCGTCTACTTCGATTACTAGTCCTTCAACACTGTTAGTCGACGTTGATCCAAGTGACTCTAGTTCCACACTGGTTATCGGCATGTTTTGAGACGTTTCATCCTTCTTGCACCATTCCCAGGTTCTTGTGCCTGCTAGTCCAGGCACAGGATCTGGCCTTCTGGTCGATACACAACGGGTATGAGCCAGTTCAGGATCGGCGACTTGCTCGATCGAAACTGCAACAAGGGCTATCGCAGAGCCCTCACCTGATAAAAGAGCGTCATCATAGACAAACGACCTTATGCTGGTCTCTCTGAAGATGCACCGTCTCGAAGCGCATTGGGGTGGTGTTGTTTTTGGTCTCTTTTTGCGTGGGTTGTGTAGGTGTGGGCGGGGTTAGAGGTAGAGTGAAGGTAAAGGCGAAGATAAGACGGCAAGAGCGTCCAGTTTTGATTTATTCTGGAAAAGTAGAACATGTGTAATAATAGCAGTATCTTCATCGCTCTATCAAATTAGCGCTTGATCTCTTAATATCTTTCTTGTCCTACTGCCGCGCACAACTTGTGGTTTGATGTCCACACTTACCTTGACCTCGAGTTCCTTGCGCGTCGCTGCCTAGCCTTCCGCGAGTGGGGTTAGCGTCAGTCTGTGCTCCCCAATCTGGCTACGAGCAGTTGCTCTTCCCCTACCAAATACTCTCCATCCTACGCCCCCCAACACGAGTCAATGGGATCGCGATCGAGCCCAGATTGTTAAGCGTCAGCTCGGTGGCCACAACCACTACTACCCGTGGTGGATGCAAGCACCTTGCGCGCCGAAGAGACTCACTTCATTGCGCTGCAACGTAACTACAAGGTAAAGCCTACGGAAACCTCACTGTACTTTGATGCTAATCCAGGACTTTGAAGCTCCACGGTCAAACATGACGAACGCGCAATCCCGACCCCTGGGGTTCCTCGACTTGCCTGCTGAATTGCGACTGATGGTGTATGAGCTCCTGCCGAACCGTACCACTCGTACTCGATATGTGAAGCGCAGCAGCGACGGAACAACTGAGAGCAGCTTTACCCTCATTAATCATGAACCGCCGACTGCCATTCTTACTACATGTAAGACTGTCCACAACGAAGCCGTAGCTGTCGTCCGCAAGACCGCACAGCAGCTTCTACCTGGAGGAGTGGTTGAGCAGCCTCCTTTTGTCGCTGGCACCGCGCCCAAGATCAAAACAGAAATCCTCGCTCTGCCTGTTCTTGGTGCGCCAAAGGGAATCATCAAGGCAGCCGTGGACTGGTGCTTTTGCTATGACACACCCTGGTCCGCCGACTGCGATACCTTCTTAGCTTACCGAGGCTTCGACATGTCCTCTCTTCTCAAAGACTATGGATATTTCATGGAGGATGGCACATTCGAAGAGGGAGTCTTTCGTCTACTCTACTTCATTCGCAAGGCTGGGTACATGCTTCACCTCCGCCGCTGCAGCGCGTCGTTACATGGCTACGAATTCTGGGGCAAGTTCGGAGAGTTTTTTCGAGCCCACCCGTCTCGCATTTTTCACGTTGCCGTTACGAAGGGAACTGAAACCGAAGGCGTTGGGAAGACAGCTGAAGCGGTGAGGGATTTTGGTAGAGCTTTGGGCCCATATGATCCCCCAGGGGACATTCGTGTAAGGATCCACACCCTGACCTCCGCAGGAACAGATACCAGTGTATCGGTCCGCGTAGGTGAAACAAGTGTCGAGGCTGAGTTTCGCAGTCGCCGTGAACATAGGACCGTTCTCGTGTTAGGCCGTTTACGCTGGGATGAGTGGTGTGAGGAAGACTACAACAGGTTCTGGGCCGAAGGCGAGTGGAAACTCTGAGAGATTATCCGGATATTACGGTAATTGATGCGTGTGCTCATGAAGAATATTTCACACGTCAAAAAGATTTCATGTCAAAAGAAAAGCTCTTGCGTCTCATAAAAGTGTAGTACAATTAATCGATGCCTACATCCAACCATTCCCCTCCCACCCAGTCATCTTCTCAATTAACCCCCAACAAATCCGGCAACTCAATCAACTCCCTCTGCATCTCGCTACACATCTCCAAAAACTCCCTCTTCTCCATCTCCGTCGCAAACTCAATCTTCGCCCCACTGATAACCTTCCCCTTATCCACACTCTTCCCAGCCCCGACTTTCTCCTTACCTTTCCCTGTAACAGAAGTAGTGGCAGCTTCCGCAAAACTGTCCTTCCTCATCGCGCGATCACCCCGATCAATCGGTACCCTCAGCCCTTTGATCTTCACCTCTCTGTCCCCACCGTCTTTCACTTTGATAGGGTTGACGGAGGAGTTGAGGTAGAAGGCTAAGTAGCCGTTTCGGAAGTCGGCGGAGAAATGGATTAGGGCGATGATGGCGCCTGTGTCGTTGTCTTCCCAGACGCGGAGGTTTTCCAGGCCGCACATCTGTTCGGCGTAGGAGAAGGATTTGGAGAGGCCTTCGTGGATGCGCATTGTTTTTTCTGTGCGGAATGTCGCGAGTAGAGTGCGGCCCATTAGTTCGTTTTGGAAGAGTGCGGCCGCTGGGTATGCAGTTAGTCATCGTCTTCTTCCTTAATGCTGTTTCGGTAGTCTACCTTGTGGTGAGTCGAAGACGTAGTTGACCCAGCTAGTCTTTTCTACACGCACTGGCCGATTGCCGTGTTTGACATCGTGAAATATGAGCTCGCAGAGGACTGTGATGGAGGCTTTGGCTGGGTTGAAGTAGCTGGAGTACGGTATGTACATCTGGTCGTCTTCCATACGTAGCTCCACGCGGGTGGTGTTGTCGTCGCTAAATGCCCATACGGATGTCACGACGCGTACTGTCTTCGTCTCAGAGTCGGTTACGCGTTTCCGTACTACGGCGATCCTGCACTCTTCGGAAGCCTGAATCATTTCGACGTCTCTGGGGTCGTCCTGGTTTATCCGGTGCGAGTATTCGACGAGCGAACCGCGACTTTCTGTGGTCAGCATTGCTAAAGACGTACACTGAGAAGAACGGACTAAGAGCAAAGTCGGCTTACACATCACATAGAATCGCTGAGTTACGGAAAGCTTCCTTCTCGAAGGCGGCTTTTTGACTGGTAGTGGTTGAACTTCGGTGAAGTTTCATAATCTCAGGTTGCAACGAAGGGTAAGGGCTTAACATGGCGTGCGATGTCTGAGTAGGTGTTCTTTCGAGTTCATGAAGTGAGCCGAGCGTCATAGCCGGAGGTGGGAGTAGCGTGTGATGCCGATTGTCAGCCTTTCGGCCCGGCTTGCATACTTCCGGTGTCCTTGGTAGAGGTGATGTTTTCTTGGTCGATGTCGAAAACTGTCCGCTCAGTCGAGAGTCAGGTAGTAACGAAGATGGACTTTGCCAACCGACTGAGCTTGTACCAGCGTCAGACGATGCATAGCTACTGCTGGAGTATCGCAAAGATGAGCCGCCAAAGCTAAATCCCGACACACGTTTTTGAGCGGGTGATGATGTTCTTGAGGCGGATACGACATCCGCCGGAGATGTCGGAACAGGAGCATCATCGTTGAATCTGACTATAGAGGACTGTTCGTGGGACTCTGGGCGCTGCGGGATCCGTGGTAGAGATATTTTGACATTTTGTGACCTGAGTGAAGATTCTGGGGGAGATAAAGCATGATACGTTTGGCTCAATGGGTCGGCGTTTTCGGTGGTCGGTGAACGCGCAGGGTTCTTTGCTGGTACGGGTGGCACATGTGAAGTGTGTGGTGCAATCATTAGGTCCTCTACCATACGATGTACTTCGTCAAGCTGCTGATCGATGCTTCCAGCCAAGTGGTGCATGTTATCGATTCGTTCTGCGATTGGTATGACGGTGCTGTCCATACGAGCCATAGACTTGCTGCACCATGGTCAGTAGATGTGTGACATGGATATGGCAGCACTAGCCTTTGCAACGCTTCCGTCAACTCATCGATAGAGTTCGTATGTGTCTGTAACATCTCTTTCAGATCTGCGAGGTTTCCGCCCTCGGGAGTCCAGATCATCGTCCTGTATGAGGCTAATACCAGATCGCTCCACGAGCGCTCAATTGCGAACCCTCCAACTGTGCGGTGCTTCTTGATGACTTGGTATTGGTCGATCAGCGAGTCAAGATCATCTACTGTCCGTTGACAAGACCTTAGGATGGTACCAACGCCATATTTTATTTCCTGGTCAGCGTCCTGTAACAACTGCCGCACGGACTCCGCGTGCAGCGTCTCTGCCAACGATGCCAATGATTTTGCGAGGCTGCCGATTTCCGTCTCAACATATTGAAGCTCCACTGGCGCATTCTTTTGGCAAGCAGAAAAGGTGCGTCCAATCTTCCAAGCCTTCTGCGACAGCACCAAGATGTCCCCAATGTTGGGGACGGTCATGGTGGCGGACGATGACGGGTCATGCACGAAGTTGAGCAATCAGCCAGGTAGTAAGACAGCGCACGGATGGGAATGGGGATAGCAATTCGGAGTGTCCATAAGGTCTAGAGAATAGGTAGAGAACATCCGGGGGAGCTCTCGATATACTGTGGACACGGGAGGCGTGGGGGCTATGCGATGAGGATTCGCAACACAAACTAGAGCAGGCCCAGCGCCGTGCGCCTGGGATATAAGACTCCATAACGACTGCCCGCGTGTACTGTGGGGACCGGTGGCCGGGTGTTCCAGTTCGCAGAGGTTGAGAATGGAGGAGCATGGGTCGTGATGCTCGACCGGGATACCACGTGGGTCAGGTAGCGTCTCGCCATTGGCGTCAACCGCACAACCGGCATTTGCCCCGCGTAGCTGTCAATACCTGCCAACCGGCGCTGGGCTCAATGAGGACCGACATGCGCGCAAGCTTAGACTCCGCAAGTTCCAGCAATTGTGACACGCATGCGCAAGACGAATGTGTTTGGTGCAAAAAGCGGGCTACCACTCGGACCGGGCAGCCATGGCACCGGCCGTCCTGCAGGGTACCGTCAATTCGTATTAAGACTTTGGTATACATGTACAAATCCCGCCTCCTGTGGGATACGTTTTGCCGACTTCCGTGCGACGTGATAGAGTAGAGGAATTTTCGAACACATGGTACTTGTATAGCCCATCTTCCCGACCATCACGGTCCAAATCATACCCGAGAATCCATGCGCCTAGAGTGTGTAGTATTGTACAATGAATCGCAAATCGTTGTTGTCATATCGTCGTTTGGTGCTTATGCGAGGGGAGAGAAAAGACTAGAAGGGTCAGCTAAGTTCCCAAAAGTACATCGGCCATGATGGAGCGATATTTTGAGGAAGAGGTTCAGAACAGAAGCGAGCGACTGAAAGAGCAGAAAGACCGTAATCCCCGTAGATGCCTTGGTCTTCCACTGACACTGCTAGGCTGGCCCGTTATGGCTTTGGTGTAATCTTGTAGGAACAAGATCACAGTCTCTTGCTCATAGTCTGCTTCCAGGCTTCGGAAGTCGCCAGGCTGAATCCCACAGCCGGCGAAGTTCTTCCCCATTGTGAAGAGCGACGTCGTGCTGGTATAGGAATGGCGGAAATAGGCGGTGTACTCACCGGATGAGGGAAGGCTTAGGCTCGCTTCGGGAGTATCCGAGGTATAGGATCAAAGGCAGGTAGCCGTAGTGAATAGCGACGCGGGAGACATCGATGATGCGCGCGATGCGCTCCTGTATGGAGTCAACGGAAGCCCGATTCACATGTACTTGGCGTATTGACGTACCTTGGACTCTTCTGACAGCTGGTACATGTTGAGTATGTAGTCGGCCTGGGTTGAGGTGGTCGAGTTGTATGCGGTAATGGGTGAAGGCGGGCCCAGCGAACGAAGTTGCGATGATGCGTAAAGCTCAAAGTTTTGGGATTAGCCGCATGTGTGTTAGCGCAAGCTCAGACTGGAGCTCCAATATCTTCGAGATGCCTTCACTTCGTTCCTGAACACCAGTTCCCATTCACGACGCCTCACGACCCCAACGAAATCGTCCGGATTTCTATTGCGACCCAGGAACCAGCGTTTCGAGCCTATAGACAGCAGCCCTTTCAACATGTCGGCCCCGAGTGCGCGTCACTGGTAAGTTGCAGCATTCCGAGTAGCGAATAAGTAGCGAACATGAACTCACGAATGCGCAGGGAACAGAATAAAGAAGCCACAGTCTACGTCGGAAACCTCCATGAGCGCATCACGCCCCGCATCCTTCACGAGCTGATGCTCAACGCCGGCCGAGTACGAAATGTCAACATGCCCGTCGATCGCGTCAACGGCCAACATCAAGGGTTCGGTTTCGTCGAGTTCCACACGGAAGCAGAGGCAGATTACGCGCCCAAGATCATGAACAACGTTGCGCTATACGGAAGTCGGATACGTGTTAACAAGGCGTCCGCAGATAAGCAGAAGAATGTTGAGATTGGCGCAGAGCTGTTCATTGGTAACCTTGATCCTGGAGTGGATGAAAAGACACTGTACGATACATTTGGCCGTTTCGGACCGTTGGTGAATGCGCCAAAGGTCGCGCGCGACGACATCACGCAAGCATCCAAGGGATACGGTTTCATCTCCTACGGCGACTTCGAATCCTCGGATGCGGCAATCGCGAGCATGCACAACCAGTACATCATGAGCAAGCAGATCACGGTTCAATACGCATACAAGAAAGATGGAAAGGGCGAGCGGCACGGAGACGAAGCGGAGCGTATGCTCGCGAAACAGGCCAAGGCCCACGGAGTTGCGCCGGCTGTGCAACCTCTGCCGGCACATCTTTTCCAACTTCCACCAGGTGCTGCACCGAGTGGACCAGCCATGGGCATGGATGGACGTGGCATGCCCGGCGCACCAAGCGGACCTGGAGCAGGATATGGACCCCCTGGCGGACCTCCCGGCGGACCTCCTGGTTACGCTCCCAACGGCCCTGGAGGCTATGGCCGACCTCCTTCCGCAGCTCCGGTCGGCCATCCAGGTCTTCCACCACCCCCATCTGGCTTGCCTGCTCGCCCACCAAGCGGCGCTCCGACGAACTTCTTCCCTCCTCCGCCCGGCTTCAACGGCCCACCGCCAGCCTTCGGCGGTCCCCCAGGTTTTGGAGGGCCTCCCGGCTATGCTCAGGCACCGAGGTAGAGAGAAGAGACGCGAAGGGATCAATGACAATCACGTTGAATATGGGCGTTGTAGCTTGAGCAGTCTCCAAGATGCTAGAACCAGTACTTCAGCGAGCCAGGGGATCAGGCCTGTCGGTATAATAGCCGTCCGCAGAAATCGCGGAAGTCATGGCCTTTGATCGACATGAAGCAGCATGAGACGATGGCGTCACGATTGGGAGGCATGATATTCACCAGGCTTCGAGTCGATTAAGGGAAAACATCAAAAGTGCATTCGAAAAGGCGCTGAAAGGTCAGCGAAAGAAAGACGCAGAACTCGGAAGAATAGAGGACACAGGATATCTGGCGTCCGAAACCGTACTTGCAGAAAGATACCCGCCAAGAGCATGTCAGACAGAGATAGGCCACTGAAGGCAACAAAGGAAATGTAGTAATGTGTCCAAACCCCATACAAAAGAAAGAATTACGAAAGAGCCCTGTAAATGAAAACCGCCATTGAACCCAGTCGTTGCAGTTATGAGAAGCTGACAAACTTGGGGTCGCGGGGTATCCCATCTGCTCCGATGTTGTTTTTCTTGAATCTCTCCTGCATGTATATTCTGCGTGCCTCGTCGAAGTCGCAGCCGCGTCTCTTCATAATTCGCATAACCTCCTTCTTCCCCGCGTCGTCCAAGCCTTGGCGCGAGTCGCCGGCTTCCACGTTCCCACTCAGGTCAAACGCTGAGGACGAAAGGCCGGCTTCGATGTCGTCGCGGAACGAGGATGGGAGGCGCGTGTAGATGGGTCCGGGGATAGGCAGAAGGTGTATCCAGCGGTGCCGGGTGAAATAGGCAGCTGCGCAGTGTTAGTGTGGCGCAGGAGGTATCCACTAAGGTAACATACCTGTCGCAATCACCAGAACGAAGAGCGAGACGGAGTAGAGGATGTAGGCCATGATGAAGGTTGCTTCCGAGGCTGCACGAGAGGTCTATAGCGTATGCGACAGAGCGGAGGTCTTCGGGAGTGCGGGAGGGAGCTGCTAGGCGCGACAAAGGAGTTGGTGATGAATACAAAAGAAACGGATGTGAAGTAACTTCAGCGGTAGTGTGTATATGAGGGCCTCTGAAGCCAAGGCATTAGGGGAGGTTGATGCAAGACAACGATGGTTTGTAACCACGGAGTCGCGGACAAGAACGCTCGGCTGCACCGCCTCACGTCGCGTTCATGCATCGTCACTTCCGCTCCGCTCTTGGCGTCGGCACGCACGTTGATCCATCCCCGAAACACGCACTAAGCGCATGCGGTAATGCAGACGAGGGCCCTCGATTCAATATTGGCGAACTTTCCCAACGTCAAGCAATCGACATCGTCCGTATCCACATTCCATACAGACACAATGGCCACCACTATCTCGCACGATCTTGCCTGGGAGGTTACCAGTGAGTGAAAGACTGGGACGCGCATTGGGGAGGGACTGGGGTTGACATATGGCAGAGGGACGCAGCTCCACGCTCGTCAAGAGGGCGAACGGTATCCAGTTCTCGCGCGATCCTCTTAACCTGAGGAACGTGTACAGCCGCAAGGTATGTGTGGATGTTGTATTCTTGGGGACAGTTGACTAATTCTGCTCAGAACGAGGGCTCCATTGCCAACAAGGTACGACTACCACGAACCACGAATGCGCCGCGCGCACATGCGAACCAACACAGGACACGGTATTGACAACGTTGGAATAGGCTATCGGTGTTATCCCCGGCCCCGAGGGTGGTGTCACTCTTCTCATCAAGAAGGCCGACAAGCACCACCAGCCCGCATCTGCCATCCAGACCACCACCTTCGGCCCCAGCAGGTCCACCCGCAAGTACGTCTTCTCCAAGCCGCGGCTCTCTTCGCTCGATCGTACCGATACCGCATATCAAGGAGCTGCTCGCTGACCAACGTAGGACATACTCCGCCATCGTCAACTCCACCACCAAGCGCAACTACCGCCCCGACCTCCGCCAGGACGCCGTCGCTAAGGCCTCCGCCATCCGCAAGAGCCAGAAGCCCGTCAAGGAGTCCAAGCCCACCAAGGCCAGGGGTGCCAAGGCTCAGGCCGCTGCCACCGAGGCATAGATCATGAAATACTGAAGAGCGTGGTGCATGTGAATTGGTTCGGAGTTTTACTTCATTCGGTTCATCATCTTCTGTGGGATTCGGAGCTCATGAAAGAAAATGAGCATGGGTTGCATGAACGAATAAAGCTAGAGTCTTCACGACGAATCGACTCGGCGAGAAATGAATATGCTTCGAAAACCAAATCCTGGTGCCGTCTCAATGCCGGTG